AGCGCAATGGTACTTGAGCAGATCAAAATGAAGATTGGAAAAAGGATGACAGTGCTTCACACCCCTGAGAGGCCCAGTATGGCTTCTTAGGCAGTCACCTCTAACGGGGAAGGGAAAGCGAGAAGGGAATTATTTTTATTGCATATCAGCTCTCCTGATACCAATGCTCGTTAAGGTAACAAAGAGCTAAATGGTTCATTGGAGGGTTAGGGTCATCATTTCGTGGTACAAGGACTGAGGTTTTGAACTTGGAGACAAATAGCCTAAACTTTCATAGGTCCTGGTCATCTCTAGCAGTTTGTGTTGTTACGTTCAATAAAGATTTGCAAAATCTTTCACAGACATAGATATCAGTTGGGATTACTAGTTCTGACAAAAACAAAACAAAAAACTTTGATTTACTTAAGCAAAAGGGAATTTAGTGGGAAAAGTGAGAATTATGAGAATCAAAGACACGGCTAAAGTGCCAAGCCTTACAAAGGTAGAGTCCAAGAGGCTCAGGTGGGGTCTCTGAAGCAGGAACTATTCAATGGTCAGGACTAAATGAATTGTCAGTTTCCCCATATTTGTGCCTCTCAAAGTCCCAAGGAAAAGTTTAATTTGCCATATTTTTTTCACCCCTTTAGGTAGGACTGGACAGGGGACCTTGATTTTTGGCTCTATGAAGACTGCAAAGAAAGGAATGTGGGGTGGAGGTGGGGAGGTGTTGGTGTTAATTACCCATAAGGAAATCTGAGTGTTATTTTCATTTCAGAAGCTATGTATCCTGGATAGCCAAGATGTAGCTAATGTCCAGCAATAGCGTTAACCCTAAAGGCCAGGAGCCATCTACTCAACTTACATTAACACCACCTAGAGCACATGTTTATTTTCGGTATGAAAGCTAACAGGCTCGTTTCAGTAAATAACCCGGTGCCTGATGCATAGTAGCTGCTCAATTTTTTCATTAGGGTGAACTTCTCTACACTGTTATTTGTTCTCATCCTTTCTTTTTTGTCTTTCATATTTCCTAACATTTAACAAATATTCCCGTAAAAGAGAAAGTTCAGTGCAGTAAAAAGAGTAGTGGAATAGAATATTTTCTTACTTCTGTCCAATGTGACCTTGGGCACAGGTCCCAACTGCTTTGGATTTATTTCTTCACCTGTAAAATGAAGTGGTAGAGGTAGATCCTCTTTAAGAATCTGTCCAATTCTGTAAATCTAACATCATGGTCACAAATACATTGATGACAGGGACTCAGCTAACTTAGAAAAAATGTTTATAATTTTCACAGTATGAGGTGGCTCTACCCTGAATCTGGACAGAAAGTAAAACCGAACTTACTTGGTAGTATTTAGGAGAAATTGCCAATATTGTAGAATATCTAGATCACTGTTATCAAACTTTAAAAGAAAGGCAGCAGAATCCATTTTTCAAGTGAAATCTTACACTGAAACCCAATGTCTAAAACAAAAGTAAAACAAATCTGACTGAAACAAAGAGTGATGTGTAGATCCCCATCCTCGCACCGTCTCCCACAGACTCCAAAAACACCATTTGACATTGCTCATCTAATTCCTGATGGAATATCCCTAGACTTTTCTGTACCATGTGATAGTAAAATGAGATCAGCAATTTTATTCAGGTAGGGAAAAAATATTTTCCATAGGCAAGTATATATTCTCTTTCAATGACATTAAAAAGACTTAATTTGTCAGTCTATTAATTAATTTTAATTTGAAAAAATCTAACAACAACTAATTAACCCCCTATACTACTGACAACTAGTAATACATAGTCTAGGCCAGCCGTGGGCAAACTACGGCCCGCGGGCCGGATCC